CCTCATTCATTATGGTATGATTTTTTGTTCTGATGATGCCTGATACCTGATCCCTTAGACACCTCGTGATCGCATAGGTTGGTGTACTTCTTCCATTTGGGCTTTGTTGCTTCTGAGCTAGATGGCTGCTTGTTTACCTTCAAGCCTTTAAGACCCCAGACGCTATCTTTTGATAACCAGGCACCATCAGCTTTCTTTGCCACATTTTCTTATGCACCCATTTGTCTTCAGCGATTGTATCAGGGAGGTGAGCACACAATGATATGAGTTTTTGTTTTTTGATGCCTGATAACTGATCCCTTCGGCACCTTGTGATCAGGCTTTTTGTGACTGACTTATTTTGCTCAGCTTAATATCTTCAAGTTCTCACATTGTAGCGAACATGAAGTCTTTAATTCTTCAGTTGGCTTGTTAGTGTTCAACTGTGTGCGTGTTCCCATTGATTTGTTGGTGGGCACTGGTTGTTTCCACCTTTGGGCTTTTGTGAATAGTGCTGTAGGGAATGTTGGTGTATAATTTCCCTTATGAGTCTCTCCTTTCAAGTCTTTTGTGTAAAGGCTTTACCTGAGAGTAAAGTTGCTAGAGACCACATGGCAGTTCTCTCGGTAGTTGTTGAGGAATCGCCACCCCCACCCCTGTGTTCCGGAGTGGTTGTACCAGTGTACATCCCCACTGGCAAGGGACACGGGCTCCACTTCCCTCATCCCTCATGCCAGTGTCTGCTATTTCCTGCTGCTGCCGATAGTTTGCTTTAGTCATGGCTTTGATTTGCATCTATTTGCTGGTTGATAGTGCTGATTACCTTTTTAGGTTTTGGTGGCCATTTGGATGTCTTCTTTGGGTAAATATATTTTCAAGTCCTTGGCCTGTTTTATGAATGGGTCATTTGTCTTTATTGTTAAGTTTTCAAAGTTTTATATGTAATTTGGTTTTTAGATCTTTTATGATTTCCTAAGGTTGCCAGTTGTTGGCTTGTCTTTTTACCGTTTTTGATAAAATTTTTTTGATGAACACATGTTAATTTTCACGAGGTCCTATTTATTTTGTTTTTTGCTATTTGTGCTTTGTTCTAAGAATTTAAAGTTTTAGTTTGAACATTGAGGTCCTTCCTTCAGTTTGTATTTGTTTTTGTGTGTGGTGTGAGGCAAGGATCCTGTTTCATTTTTCTGCATGTGGAAATTCCATTTTCCAGTGCCATTTATTGAAGATCATTTTCTTTCCCCATTAAAGCGGACTTAGCACCCTTTTAAAAAATCAGTTAACCGTAGATAGGTGGATTTCTTTCTGCACTTTCAGTTTTGTTAGGGAGTGTGAATCCTCCTTCATTCTTCTCTTTCAGCATTGGTTTAGCTATTCAGGACCTCTTGCCATTCCATGTAACGTCAGGACTTATTTTTCTGCTTCTGTAAAATATGTAAGTTGGTTAGAATTCTGATTGAGATTGTTTTGAACCTGTTGATCACTTTGGGCATTCCTGACATTTCAACAGTATTAAGTCTTACAATCCATGAACATGGAAGATATATTCCCTTTTAATGAAGTCTTTAATCTCTTTCAGCAGTGTTTTATAGTTTTCATTGTATAAGTCCTTTATGCCCCTGGTTAGATTTTTGCTAAGTATTTTATTCTCTTAGATGCTACTGCAAATGGAATTGTTTTCCTAATTTCCCTTTCAGATTTCTCATTATTGCTGGTGTATAGAGACTCAACTGATTTTTTGCTTGTTGACTGTGTACCTGGTCACTTTAGCGCTATAGGCTTTCTGTGAACTTGCAGGGATTTTGTATATCCAAGAAGGCTTCAAAGGTGCATGAAGTTTTAATGTGTTGTTTAGATTCTGTCTGCTACTATTTTGTTGAATTTTGCATCTATAGTCATAAGAGATACTGGCTTGTAGTTAAAAAAAAATTTTTTTTTTAATGCTATCTGTGGTTTGGGAGAAGGGTTTATATTTGCTTCCTGGAATGAATTAGGGAGTGTTATCCCATTCATTCTTCTCTGTATCTTGGAAGAGTTTAAACTGTATTGATGTCACTTATTTATTTCAGCATTTGGTAGAATTCCCGAGTGAAGTCATTTAGTGTAGGACTTTTTTATTGGGAGGTTTTGATCGGATTCAATCTTCTGTCAGGGTCTCTTGAGGATCAGTGCCCTCTGGGGTCAGTTTGGTTGTGCTCTGAAGAACGTGTGCCTTCCATCTGAGTTATCCATTTGCTACCAGACAGCAGTTGTGCACCATACTCTGTCATCATTCTCTGTATTTCTACTGGGTCAGTTTTTCCTTTCGTTTTTCATTTCACTTGTTTGCAGTTTTTCCCTTTGTCAGTCTAGCTAAAGGTCTGTCAATTTTATGGATCTTTTCAAATACCCAATTTCTGGTTTTATTGATTGTGTGTTTCTGTTTTCAAGTTCAGTTATGTCTGTTTTGGTCAGTGCCATGCCATTTCTCCTGGTACATTGCTTTTCTGTTTCTAGTGCTTGGAGGTGTCGAGTTAGGCTGCTAATCTGAGACTTTTCTTCCTTTTTTGTTAGCGTTTGCTTTACTTTTGGCACAGGTGGTTGCATGGGGCTTGAATTTCCAGGTGTCTCTGGTGGTCTGGACAGGATAAGTGGGGCGGTTGTTTGTGTGATATTGAGATCTTCCTTCCTGATTCTTAGTGTCATCATGCTGGACGAAGCCCACGAGAGGACCTTGTATACCGACATTGCCATTGGCTTGTTGAAAAAGGTATGGCTTCACTGCTACACTTTGTTTTGTTTGTTTGTGTTCTGTGAGTATGAAAGTGATTAAAGCAATTTGGAAAACCCTACAAAATACTAAAATATTAAAATCGTCCATATTTCACTCAGTCAGAAAAAGCCGGTGTTAAATGTTGGTACGTTTTCTTCTCTTCTTTTCCTGTGTCTTGTTTGGTGCAAATCTGTTTGAGGATAGTTTGGGATTACACCATGTCTTCCTATTCCTATCTTGCATCTTTCCCTAAGTACCATTAGGGTCATCAAGGTCATTTTCTTATGCCATTAAATATTCTTTGAGGACATTATTTTTAATGACCATATAACTGTATGTCCTACCTTGAGATATTTAACTCTTCCCTTACTGTTGCACATAAATAAGTTTCTGGATATAAAGGTTTTTGAATAATGATGTGTAATGAGTACACTTGAAATTAAATCTCTTGCATTTATTTCTTTTTAAACTTTGTTACAGAAGGTTTTCAACTTATTCCAAAACAGATGAATAGGATGAACCCAGGTTTACGTGTGTGTCATCCCGCAGCACAGTCACAGCGCTTGTTTTAGCTCAGTCACCGTGCTCTTTGCCATCTAGCCCATCGCGACTCTCGCGGCCTCGTCGGACAGGGTTTCAGAGACGCTCTTTGCAGTAGGAAGCCTTGTCTTCTCCTGGGCACAGCTGGTTTCACGCTGCTGACGTGGCTGTTAGAAGCTCCGTGTAAAACCGCTGCCGCCCTGGCTCCCGGCAGAGCAGGATTTGAACCCCGGGTGTCTGACCCCGAGCCCATCACGCTCTTCACCACGGTGCTCCACCACCTCTTTCTAGGTGCTTGTGGTTGGGAATTTGCCCAAAGAAAACAACCAGAAAATACGAGGGGCGGCTAAGGGCAAGGATGAAGGAGGACTTGTGAAGTGCATAGCCCACACAGCTGTGTGTAGCAGCCCGAGAACAGCACCCAGCTCAGTACATATTAGCTGCTGTTGTTGTCACTTTCATTATTATTTTATTCCCTGAACAGAAAGTTAGACTTTTTGATACCTACTAAGAATTATTCCACCAGAAGGTTACTACCTTCCAGTATATATAAGGATCTACTTCGTTGAACTTTGCCAATGCCATTAGCCTTAAAGAAATACTTGCCAGTGTGATAGATAAAAACATTGATCTCATTATTATTATGATGACATATTTCCACTGCCAGCTTATTTGATCATTTCTTATAAGCCTGGTATATGTTTCTTTGAATAATTGCCAACCTTTTGTCCATATTTCTTAGTGTTGCCAGTTTTTGTTTATACTTCTAATGAAAACTTTTTATATTTAATTGTGTATATAGAGATCCAGGTGCCAGGGGAAAATGGTTTAATTCCCAGGAAATTCAGATTCAGGCCTTGAAGATTCTTTGTACTATGAAATAGTTTTTTTTTTTTTAAATCATTTTATTGGGGGCTCATACAACTCTTATCACAATCTGTACATACGTCAATTGTGATAGTTTTGTAAAGTTTTTATTTTGAAAAATTTTAAACATTTGCAAAATTAGGGGAAAAGCATATAATGAACCCCCCTTTTGCCTGTGACTTTCACCATGTTTAATTTATGGCCAGTCTGTTTCACTGAGAGGCCCCTCCCTCTACCTAAAGCATACATACACTGCATCATTTTGAAAAAAATGCTAGACACTAAATTATTTTGTCGATAGAGATTTCAGCATGGCATTGTTTCCTGCTGCCTTCTTTTGTAGGTTCAGAAGAAGCGAGGGGACCTTCGACTGATCGTGGCCTCAGCCACTCTGGATGCAGAGGTAAGAGGACCCTTTTCCCAGGAGACACTGGAGTTGCTGGGCACGTGCTGGGAGGTTGCTTCTAGCTTATCTTTGCCAGAATGACCTGCCTTCCCTGGAGGGCCATCTGATGCCCTAGATTCTATCTGATCTGAGGATACACCTCCTCAGCTAGTGGGTGGAAATTAGCCTATAATTAATTGAGTCTAATTACCTACCTATTTGTCTTGCATCTCGACATATTCTATTTCTCCTTACATAAACAGCTTTTTATTTTTTCTGTATGAGGCTATATTTCTTGAATTTATTGTGACTCATGCATATATAGGTGCCCTGGTGACTCAATGGTTAAAGTAGTCACCTGCTAACCTACAGGCTCATGATTCGAGCCCACCCGCGGCTCCACAGGAGGAAGATGGGACACTGCTTTTGTAGAGATGTGCAGCCTTGGGAGCCCAGGGGGGCCTGTGATTCTCTCTTCTAGGTCAGCTCTGTGGCAGTGGGTTAATATCAGTCATCGGAGCCTTTGTGGGTGGTGGCTGTGGGTGCCAGCTGCTCAATGAAAGGCGGGCAGTTAGAACCCACCACCTGCCGTGCAGAAGGATGTGGCAGCCTGCTTCAGGAACAGTGGCCGCCTCGGAAACCCTGTGAGGCAATTTTAGTCTGCCTTACAGCATCAGTAGGGGCTGGAATTGACTTTGGCAGTGGGTTTTGGTTTATAGCATAATATTTAGATTTCTTTAACGGAGTTGAGGAGGGACTTCCAAAAGGTCATGGAACAATGCCTGTTTCTTTTCATTCCATTTCTCCATGCACTTTTTGAAGTCCCCTCGTATTGTTGTGTCCTATAGTATAAATTTGTGTGACTGGGTTATGTTATGTTTCTCAGGGTTTTTGTTCAAAGAGCAGTGAAACTCAACAAATAGCTCTGGCCACTTGGGTTGTGCATGTTAGGCGTTGTGCCGGGTGCAAGTGACGCCCGCACTTCCTGACTTCCTTCTTGGGGGCACCAGTCAGTGCCGTGGGATGGGAGCATGCCATACAAGGGGCTGAGGCAGGCCAAGGCAGGGGGTGAACTCCTCCAGGAGGTGGCCCAAAGCTTCCACAGAGGAGGTGACAGCTGGGCTTGGAAGAGGAGCAGAAGTTTACCAGCGGGGGAAGGGTGGAGAAGGCCTGCCGCGAGCACAGAGGCCCGAGAGCCTGTGTTCAGGGAGTTATGAGTCAGGGGTTTTGCCTGGTCAGCAAGGCCCTCCAGGAGCCCTGAGTCCTTCTCTGAACTCATCTCCTGCTCTTTCTCCGCTTCTCCCTACGCTCCAGCTTCCCTGGTCTCCTTGCTGCTCCTCATAAACATGCACATGCTTCCACTCTCAGGGGCACGTTCTTTCCAGACCGTTTTCTCCCAGGTACGCTTAGTCTCATGGCTCGACCCTCTTTCCTTCCGTCTTGCCCAGATACTGTCTCCTCAGCGAGGTCTGCCCTGACTACCCTATCACTCTCTATCCTCTTACTGTTTTATTTTTTTCACCTGCCATTCCAGATACGCATTTCCACTGTCATGTTTATTATTACGTCACTAAAATGTAAGCTTCACGAAGATAGACATTTTTACTGTGTTGGACTGTGGTTTGGCTGTGAACTACAAGGTCAGCAGTTTGAAACCACAGACACGCCGCCAGGAGAAAGATGAAGTTCTCTTCTGTCCAATCAAGGTTTATCGTCTTGGAAGCCCACAGGGGCAGTTCTACTTTGCCCTTTAGCGTAGCATTGAGTGGTCATAGATTTGATGGCAGGGAGTGATGGAGTGGTGGTGCTGTGGGCCAGCCACTGGGCTGCCAACCACAGCCGGCCGTTCAAGATGCGGCTCTCTGTTCCCAGAAGAATAGGCAGACTTAGGAGTCTTGTACAGGGTCACCAGGGGTTGGAATCAACACAGGGCCAATGGGTTTTATGTATTATTTCATCCCATGTACTTAAAACAGTGTTTGAGGTGGAGTAGCCATTTGGTTGAGTGGATTTTAAAGGAATGGGAAGCCCTGGGGGGTTAAAATGGAGAGACTGATAGGGTCAGATCAGGGAAGACCTTATAGGCCAAGGAAAGGAGGCTGGGTTCCATTCTGTACTGATCAGGAGCTATGGGAGGATGTGAGGTCGGACAATGACATGATCCCATTCGGGTTCTAGAAGCATCATGTCGAGTGCTGTGTAGAGGACGTTAGATACCATCAGGAAACCAGATTTGTAATCCAAGTGAGTTACGAAAAAGACTTCATTCCTTTCTCCCCATGGCTTCAGGGACACGGAACACCTTTGAGAGAGAAAAGCCTTGTGTGGACAAGATGAGCGGCGTGTGTCTGGGCTGCTTTTTCAGACCCCTACACAGGCTGCAGACTTCTGTCATCTTCAGTCGTAGTCTACCCAGGATGACTCTCGGGCCAGAACCCCTCTGCTCTTGACTTCACTGGTAAAGACAGAGCCTCTGGGAAGGCTAGCTCAAGGACTAGATGTGACCGCACCTTGTTTCACCTCCTGGGAGGCTCCACTGCATTGAGCTTCTTTTCTCTCTTTAAACTTTACTTTACCATTTTGGGGGAAGGATAATAAGATTTTAATTTGATGGTGGTAAAAACATACTGCTCTCACCATGTTGTGCTGCCACCACCACTGTCGGTTTCTGAAAGTTCCGCATCCCCCCAAAGAAACTCAGTACCCCTTCAGCAGTCACCCCCATTCAGCCTCCTCTCCATAACCTTCGTAATACATTTTTGTCTCTGTGCATTTGCCTGTTCTTGATATGTCATCTAATGGGATCGTGCGGTCTTTGTCCTTTCACGTCCCTACTTCATAGAGCATGCTTTCAAGGTGCATTGATGTGGGGCGTATCTCAGTACTTTGTTTTTCTTTACGGTTGATTAATGTTCCGTTGTATACATAATACCCCGTTTTCTTTTTTTTCTCTTCAAAAATAATATAACCTAATTTATTTTTAACAAGGTATATTTTGACTATATTAGTATTCTCAGCATTTTTTACGTTCTATTGGCATATAAAATCCACATAACCATACAATTCAGTAGTTCAATCTTATCCAGAAGAATTGTACAATCATTACCCCAATTAATTTTCAAACATTTTCTTTTTATTTATATTCTTTTTATTTTATTGGGTGCTCTTACAGCTCTTATCACAATCCATGCATACATTCTTTGTATCAAGCACATTTGTACATATGTTGCCATCATCTTTTTCAAAGCATTTTCTTTCTACTTGAGCCTTGAGTATCAGCTCTTTTTTATTTTATTTATTTATTTATTTGTTTTTTTTAAACATTTTATTAGGGGCTCATACAACTGTTATCGCAATCCATACACACATCAATTGTGTAAAGCGCATTTGTACATCATTCTCAAAACATTTTCTCTCCACTTAAACTCCCGACATTAGGTCCTCATTTTTCCCCTCCCGCCCCCCTCCCCCCTCCCTCATGAGCCCTTGATAGTTTATAAATTGGTATTTTGTCATATCTTGCCCTGTCCGACGTCTCCCTTCACCCACTTTTCGGATGTCTGTCCCCCAGGGAGGAGGTCACATATAGTTCCTTGTAATCGGTTCCCTCTTTCATCAGCTCTTTTTAAATCTCTCTCTCTCCCCTACCTTTTTAATTTTTCATGGTTAAATCGCCTTCAAAATGAGTTTGTAATCACAATCAATTCTAGCGCTCCTTTCCCCATCTCACATGCGTTGTTTGCTCCCCCAGCGTCCTCACCCGCCGTCTCCCAGCGCCCACATGCACCCCCTTTTCTTGCTCCACTCTTCTGCCATAGACAACTTGGGTGATTGCTTCCACCTTTTAGCTATTGTGGCTAAGAAGGAGCACTTTACATTGGTGGACAGGTGTCTCTCTGAGTCGTTGCCTTCAAGTCTCGGGTAAATGCCGAGGAAGTGAATTGCTGGGCGGTGGGGTAATTTTACATGTCGCTGTATGAGGAACCACGGAGCTGTCCCTGGTGCACCCTGTTACAGTCCCACCAGCTGTGTGCCAGGGTTCCACTCTTCTCCACATCTCCGCCAACACTGTCTTTCTTCTGATAATAGCCAGTCGAGTAGGTCTCGTGGTATCGCGTTGTTGTTTTGATTTGCATATTTCTAATGATGTCGATGTGCTTATTGACTACGGGTATCTCTCTGGAGGAGTGTCTGTTCAAGTAGTTTGCCCACTTTTTAAAATGCAGTTGCCTGCCTTCTTGTTGAGTTGTAGGTGCTTTTTGTGTCTTCTGGGCATTAAACCCTCATGGGATCCATGGTTCCCAAATCGTCTGTTCCCCTCCGGAGTGAGGCAGTGCTTTTCCTTTTGGCTGCAGTCCTCTGATGTTCTTTGGTTGCTCATGCTTCTGATGCAATATCTAAAAGCGTATGGTCGCACACGAGGTCCTGAAGTTCCACTCCTGCATTTTCTTATAAGAGTTTTATGGATTTAGCTTTTTATATTACGTTACCGATCCCTTCTGAGTTAATTTTCATGTGTGGGGTGAAGTGTGCGCCCAACATCCTGCTTTTGTGGAAGATCCAGTTGTCCCAGCACCAAAGATTCTTTTTCCGCTGAATGAACTTGGCACCCTTGTCAAAAATCAGTGGGCCATGGCTTACAGTTTCTGTTGTAGTGGTTGAAAATTGTGATGTCTGAAGTTTTTTTTTGAGTCATTGTTTATTAATAATTGCTCATAACCGCTCTATACTGTCTTTGGATTTGGCATAGGGATATTAAAAAATAACTTGTTTCAGTTCTGTCTACAGTAAGTTGAGGTAGGTGGCAGGAATTTTAAAGAGTGGTGTCTTGGTTTACCAGGGCTGCCCTATTGAAAGACCCCAATGTGGGTGCCACTCGAAAGACATTAGGTCCAGGACCTGCCCTGCTGCCAAAGGACTGAATTCATTTAACTGATCAGTCATTTCCCCAGTCAAACTGGTCACATTCAC